CTCACTCTGTGCTAACTGATGAAAGGCCACGGAGCTTCCTCCTCGTCTGCAGGGAAGGACTACTCTTGTAGCCATCTGCCACCACCTGAGAGAGCCCTCTGCCTCGATACCACCAAACCCTAAAGACGTCCGCACCAAATAAAAAGTGGGTAGATGCACTGAAAGACAATTTCAAAGAGACAAAAGCTGTAAGTCCCAGCTCAGGAGGCAGGCATGTGAGGGACTCTCCATCAACCTCAGTCCAGACACTGTGGGCAGCAGAAAACCACAGTCTATGCCTCACACCGTGTGTATTGGCACAAACTCTGCAACGCTGTTTGACAGGTGGGGAAACAGACAACTCGCAATGGCTTTTCCGTTTGAGAAGCCTGTGGGAGCTGAAATGGTTCCCACCACCACCACACACAATGCTGCCATGCAACACCTTATCCTTGAGCACTGAGAAGAGAAGGGAGAAAACAGGGAGCCAAACTGAGGCGAGAGAGAAGGGATGTAAAAGAGAAAATGGATGTCAGAAAACAGTATCTGTCCAGACACAACAAAGCAGAAAGACAGCCAGAAGGAGAGGCCGCACACGTCACCCCATTCCCTTCCCGCCTGCCGTCTCAAGAAGAGTGTCTGGGAAATTCAAAGAAAGATTTATATATCTGCGTACATAAATGCATGTGCACACATCCGCCATGGGGCGGGGACAGACAGACCAAGAATGGCTAATCAAACTGTGTGGAAGCTTTTGGGTCTTTTAATGGAAATAAGCCATGCTATAAAGAACTAGGTTAGCACTGAAATGTAAGATGCACATCTTCAAAGAATTGTCACCCAGAAATACAGCTTAGCCTTTAATTGAAGCCACCACTGCTGGTTCAATTTTGCCCAAAGGACATCTTTCCCCTTATTTCAAGACATCTTATCCACATAAATTCAGAGAACAAATCTGAGTCAAAATAGATTTCCCCTAAACCAGGGCTTGCGAATTCAATAGAGCTAAATGTCCAGGGCTGTACCGTCATGGATCGGGAGGAGGGAAAAGAGCCAGATAATCCTGAAACTTCATAAAATTTTGAATATCAAATAGTAGGCATAGGCAGTGAATAGGCGATGAACTTTCTCTCCTTCGCTCGAAGTCAAAGGATCTCTGAGGAATTCAGAACATTTGAATCTTTGTGTGGCCTTCCCTTTGGTGTATGATTTAGCCAGCACCCTGGAATAGCGAATGTCCCCTCCCTGTCAGTAGAACCATGTAGATTCAAAAAAAGTCATCTTCCATTGAGAAGACAATTGTATTCTATAGAGATGAGAAACAAACGCCCATGACCTGAGTCACCTTCTCCCAGCAGGCTTTTACTTAGGCCCCCTCTGAGTAAACACAACCCAGTCCGGCGCAGTCAATCCCGCCTCCCCACACTGGGCCCCTGCAGTTGTTATTTACCCTTCCTATTAATCTGTCAACGTTCTAGTCAAACACGCAAAAGCAATATGGCGGCCGCATAGTTCGGTTGGTCATTGCTAAGTAACTCAGACCAAAGATGAAGAAATGGAACCCCCCACCCACAAGATGGGAGGCCCAGTGCCATTGCTTGGCAAGGTTCGACAATGCCAGTGCCTGACGATTGTTTTCGGAGTGACTCTGATTTGACACCCCTCCACTGAAAAGGGGATCCCCACAAATGATTAAGTTCAGAATCTAAATTCCAGTCATGTCACTGTCCCTGTCCTTGTAGAGTAAAACTGTCTGGGCACGATGTGGGGCTGGGGGAGGTGGTAGAAGATGTCATTGCCCTGCAGTGAAGAAGCTTGTGAAGAGTTTAGTCTGACAAGCAGATGAGCACACAGCAGAAATAATCTTTGAGCCAAGCAAATTAGAAGCCCTTGGTACACAGCATACTCTGAAAAGAAGAATGTGTGTCCTGTGTCCAAAATGTAACTCAAATGCAGTCAAATATGTTAATAAATTTAATAACTCATTTAATGATACATTTAATAAATCGTTTCCTGACGCCCACCTGGCGGGGCTGTTTTGGAAGGTTGTGCAACCTTTAGGAGTTGAAGCCTCACTGGAGTGGACAGCTAAGCCCAGAACCCCCTCCTGTCCAGTCTTGGCTGTCTGACCTCAAACACAATGCCACTAGCTTGCCACACAGCCCTGCTCTCATGCCTGCTCCGTCATGTTGGGTTGCATCTTCTCAAACTGTAAGCCAGCCAAAACAAACCCCTGCTCCTGGAAGCTGCTTGTTTTCAAGCATTCGGTCAAAAGCGATATGAAGAGTAGCTGATACGGTCTCGACACAAAGTTACAAACCATGATACGGTCTCAACACAAAGTTACAAACCATGATACGGTCTCGACACAAAGTTACAAACCATGATACGGTCTCGACACAAAGTTACAAACCACCACCTATATCCCACTAGAATTAGCACTAAAGATGGAGCCCGTCTGACGTTCTAGCCCTGCTGACACAGCCAAAATGTAATCCACTGAAAGACAAGGGAAAGCCACGACTGCCTAAGCCGCACCCTGATGAAAAAGTGGTGTGTGCATTCCCCTGCTGTGTTTCCAAGACGTGGTCGGAATGGGAAGAGTGGGTGACTGATCACAACTATGGGGTGTCAGAGCACAGCACAGCAAATGGACAGGAGTATGGTTGGAATCAGGCTGAGGGGGTACTAGGTAAATTTTGCCATGTGGCTATTTAGTATTTAGCTATTTGATTCCTGACGTAAACAACCACTCTGACATGTGTCTGGTTCACCTGTGTCTACATCACACGCTCATCTCGACTGCCACGATACTGAGAGACCGTAACCGGGCTATCTCCTCAGGACTAGTGGCAGCAGAGAGGAAGAGTTTACAAAAATGAGATCCGGGTGAAGGGAATGTTCTTGGTGGGTAGACAAAGCAATATATGCTCCAGGACTTCATGGGGTGGAAAGATTAAATAGAAATATATATATACATATATATATACACACACATATATATACACACACACACACATATATATACACACATATATATATATACACACACATACATACATCTGCATATATCCATGAAGGATTTAATAGTTTATGATACACTATAATGAATAACAGTAGATATTCTGTTAGTGGCAGCAAAAATGATGGTACTTTCTCTTGTCATGATTATTATCAATCTCTGTTCTTAAAAATATCAAGTAATAGGGCTATTTATGAAAGGACACCAAACAGTACATATGAGACCATCACCGACTAGTGTCAGCTTAAATCTGACCACTAGAGTAACATAATCTCTTTTTATTACTAAAATATATTTTTATTGACTGATACTATTCTATTCTTTTAGAAGGAACACAGGGGCATATAGTAATCTTCAAAAATTACAAATTTTGAAATGTTAAAATGGACATTTTAGTCTTTCACATAAACCAATTCCTCATAAAACTAGATTGCCCAGCAAGCTTTAGCTTGTATACATAGGCAGGTGGCTACTACAAGCCTGGACGCCAACTACTACCATTGCCTTGTGACCGCTGAACCTCGCCTTTCTACACCATGGTATAGACCAGCTCAACTGTCTCCACTCAACAGCAGAAGGCCAGGGCTAACCCAGGAGAAGAAAAGCCCATGGCTCTAATACTTGGAACTGACTCCAAGAAGCCACTGGTTACAGAACGTATGTGTGCCCTGGCTTTTCTAAAGGCAGGGTGGTGATGTGACATTTTCCACACAGGATTCTCTGGCACGCCCTTCCAAAGAGCATCTCTATGCTGTGTGGCAGCTCGCCTCCGTAAAATACTGCATTGTGACCCAGCTTACTGAAAACCACAGCCTGTCAAGGGGCAGAATTGCACGGATTTGTTTAAGCTGTGTGTCGGACCCTTGGCTAGTTTCTGGGTGGCACCAGAAGCAAAACTGGCCCACGCCTCGCCTTCAGCAGGAGGATTCCCCCAACAGAAGACAGACGTTCTATGAAGAAAAATGAGGGGCAGTATGAAGCTGGAGAGCACAGGACAAATTTGAGACACATGGTTCACTGAAGGCCCCCTGGGCAGAGAGATGAACTAAGAGTGTAAGCCGTCTGCCCCATGGAGAGTAAGTACCACAGAGGCCAGGTTGTGGCGAGACAGCCAGCAGAGAGCAAGCAGAGATGGGAAGTGATGTCAGCTGTTCCCTTCCTTCTCAGCACCCCTCCAGGTGCATGCTCCCTAACCCCACTGTCTGAACATGGCACCTTCTTGACCCAAAGGAACTTTGCAACTGTAATTAGTTAGGGTAAGGTGGGATTAGCCTGGGGGAGCTCAAGGGCCCTGAGCTGTCTAAGGATGAGGCAGAAGAGGCTGGGTCAAGGCCATGCGAGAGGGACTCAACCTGTGGCTGCCGGCTTTGATGAGGTGAAGCAGCAGGGGCCATGATTGGGTAGGGTCGAGAAGCTGACCGTGATGGAGAAGTGGAAAGCCTTCGGGAAGGACCAGAAGACACTCAGTACTCAATTTTTAACCCAAATGATGCGTTAGGCGAGTGCCCTTCAGGGCTAAAAGTCTTTTAAGCCGAGGGGTTTGTGGAGATTTGTTCCAGGAAGGGAGGAGATGGTGTCCTCCTCACCAGCTCAGCTTTCTTGCTGTCTTTACACAACAGCAGATTTTTTTTTTTACCTTTCTGTTCAAAACATGAACTTATACGACTTAGGGACACCATCAGGTGCTTTAACTCCATACATCACCCCCGTATGGCATGGGATACCTTAGCAAATACGTAAAAGAATATCCAAGAAGGTGAGGGCCGTGTTTCCAGTTGCTTAACAGACATGTAATGTCTAGTTGGAGTGGGGAAAGACTGTATGTTCTAAAGGCATGCTCAGGTATGCTCTCTCCTGCATATTTCACACATCACTGCAGGCAAGTGGGTACATATTTCAGACCGTGATACCCATAGTATTGCTTCAAGAATCAAAACAAATGGTTGACCTGTAGCAAACTCGCTGATCAAAAAATAAACAAATGAACCAAAAGCTCTACCTGCATCCTGTTGAAGGGTCTGGCATTTAGTTAAATGCTTCTCCCATCCCTCCAGACCAGTCACTTTAGGTGTCCGGCTGTGAGTTCAATCTCCTGTAACAACAGATGGAGAAAAGACCAGCTACAGTCATGTATCTGGCTACAATGGCGTACCTGGTTACAATGATATAACAATAATATATTAATATACTATGTCATCCTACCTAAACCATGTTACTTCTTGATAATGAATTCCGATAAAACTTCATACTTTTCAAAATGTAAGATTATTTGTTTATAAGAAGGAGATTCCCTGTTCTAGGGAATGCTAGGGTTTGTTACATTTTGTTGGTTTTCTTTTATTTCTTGTATTGGGATCTTCTCTCCCCCCCACCTTTGGCAAAGGGAATAGCTATGTAGCCCAGACTGGCCTCCAATATTGGACTTAGTTACAAGTATATGCATTTTTCAAATCATTTCCAGGGTATAAAATGCAGTTGTATGGCTTAACATCCTCAGGACCATTAGGTAAACCTTTAGAAATGTGCTTATAGACCAAGAGAGTCCACCAATCCAAGGGCTGAAAATATCTTGAGACAGCCTCTGAGGCTTAGAGCAGAAATTCCCTGCTTTGGTGTTTCCATCAATGTGTTTGTAAAGTATCTTATCTTGTTTTATGACTTTATTCTGTACTCTTAAAAGCTTCATGAAACTAGTGCCTCACGGTCACTCATATTTGGCTCCAGATTAAACTATCTCTTACCCCCTTTGGGGGAGAATCTTAAACTGCAAACTAGCTAATACTTTCATTTTCATGCTGAAATGTGTGTCTGTAGATTACTGAGAATGGTTGTATATCTTGCTAACGTTAACAGCTGTTCTTCCTTCTTCCTTTCGGAGATCTAAGCCTTGAGCTTTCTCCTTACTGCACCAGCTTGCATTTGCGCTAAGTGAAGCTGTGACGGTGCCCATGGCTGTTTTCCCCCAAAACAGATGACTTAAGAAGTCAATATCGTAGGTCTACGTTTGTGTATCCCTCACTGTGGGTTCTGGAAGATTCTAGGACTCACAGCGTGTTCTAGGTAGACAGGAGAGGCCTACGGAAATTGGGGACGACTCTGATCAATTGAAACGTCTCAGAAGGACAAGCCCTGTCTACGTCTCCAGTAGCTTCCTGTGCTTCCTACTTGTACTCATCCTTAGCAAACAAGTTTGCATTTGTAGTTCTGAGTCTTGAATCCGAAGATATTTCTGTTACAGAAAGCAAGATAGGAAAGTGTCTGTGGAGGGCTGAATAACTAGGAAGGAAAAGAATGGGGTACAGAAATCACACGGGGTAACACGGACACATCAACAGGTGCTCACATTCAAGCAGGGGAGGCCCCAAACATTCAGTCTGCCCACAAGTTGGATAGTCCTTTTTGTTTTCTGATATTTAAAAGAAATGTTGTATTTTGATGCTCAGGTATAAAGTGTGCCGGATTTTTTAAAGGGTTTTGTAGATGTCTTTATAAGGTTAAGCAGACCCCCTTCCATTCACAATTCGTAAGGGTTCTTGTTTTTTTATTTTAAACTTGGAACAGATGGTGAATTTGGCTCAGTGTTCTCTGCATGTTTTAGGATGATCATGTTTTCATTGTTAACCTGCTTGTGTGATGTCGTGCTATCAAAATTCATGACATTAAGGCAGTAGAGCATTTGTGGTCATAGCGTGTTCCTTTTCAGTGCTGGGATGCGTTACAATCACAGTATTCATTTTATTTTATTTATTAGTGATCATGAGTGAAGTTCATTCTGCCCCCACCTTTATAGCTTTACATTTTCATCAAGGTTTTGCTCATCCCATAAAAGGACTTAGGAGATTCACTTTTCCAAGCCCCTGGTAGGAGTTTGTATATTGTTGAAATTTCTTGTCTCTTAATATACTTGAGTAACTATTGATTTAAAAAAAAAACACCTTATTCTCATTGTTTTTGGTTTTGCTTCGGGTGTTGCATTTTGTTTGGGAAGCATAGTCTTTTTATGTAGCCTTGGCTACACTACAACTCACTGTGTGGACCAGGCTGGCCTCGAACTCACAGAGATCCACTGGCCTCTGCCTCCTGAGTGCTGGGTTAAAGGCGTGCCCCACCACTGCCCGGCTGGAGAGCCCCTGAACCAGGAAACCCACTACTTTGTACGCTAACTTAAAGTTTTCATGCTAACAGGAAGAGGCAACCTATAGCCATCCATTCCTCTTCCGAGAGAAGGTCCTCTCTCTGCTTTTGAACCGAGGGACGCATCGACACCAGATTCCAAAGACACATTTCTAAATTCTCTCCCTCTCAGGCTGCATTTCTGAAGGGTGCATTTCCCTGGAAATCTCCTGTCTTTTTTTTTTTTTATTCTTGAACTTGAACATTTCTATGTCTCATCTTGAGTGTTCTCCCCAGTTTTATTAGTGAGAAGTGTTGATTGCAGTCAGTGACCTTGTTCGTTGCAATGGGCTCTGCCACTTATGTCTGCTCATGGCTGCCTGAATTGCTTTCAAATGTCAGAACACTCCCAATCAATAGTGACGGCTTCTGATTTTGTCGCTCTGGCTGATGAGCCCCTAGTATTTTTATTGCTAACTATGACAATGAATACTTTGTTATCTCAATGGGGTAGAGTAGGGGAAGATAATAGGGGTAAGAATGCCTAAAATGTGTTGTATCCGTGTATAAAACTGCCAAAGAACACATTTTAAATCTATTTTAAACTTTTATAAAGATTAACTACTATAAAAAAATAATAAATAAATTGTTTAAAATTTTGAGTGGTAGTTCAGGCCTGGAGGATCTCTGAGTTCAAGGCCAGCCTGATCTGCAGAGTGAGTTCCGGGACAGCCAGGGCCACACAAAGAAACCCTGTTTTGAAAAACAAAAAAATAAGTTTTAAAAAGAATAACTATTTGGCTCAGTGGTTAAGAAATGGCTCACTCGATGCTCTTGCAGAGGACCCAAGTTCAGTTCCCAATTCCCACCCACATGGTGACTACAGCCATCTGTAATTCTAGTTCCAGAGGCTCTGACGCCCTCTTCTGGCCACTGTGGGCACTGCATGCACATAGTGCATGAACATGCATGCTGGCAAAATGCACATGCTTAAAATACAATTTTTAAAAAGAATTATTGCACGTGTGTGTCTTAGTTGGGGTTTCTGTCGCTGTGTGAAACACTGACCAAAAGCAACCTGGAACCTTTGGATCACACCATTTCTGAGGGAAGCCAGGGCAGGAACTCAAGGCAGGAACCTGGAGGCAGAAACTGAAGCGGAGGCCATCCAGGAACTCTGATTTCTCCTCATGACTTGCTCAATCTGCTTGCTTATACTCCCGAGACCACCTGCCCAGGGGTGGCATGGCCACAGTGGGCTGGGCCCTCCCATATCAACTGTTAGGTTAAGAAAATGACCCACAGGCTTGACTACAGACCAGTCTTAGTCTCCCCTTCTTCCCAGATGGTGGTCCCCTTGTCAGATAACTTGAATTTGTGTCAAGGTAACAAAACTTAACTAGGACATATTTTATGTTTAGTATTTAATGGGATTCCTGGATGATCTACTTGTTTACCCTACGACTGTGATACTTTTCCAGAATCTTTAATGCTAGACCTCATTAAACAAAACCCTCTTAATATATCCCATGCACACTCATTAATTTAATGTACTCATGAAGCTTTCAAAACAGTAACATATATTTATGAGCAAAATAGCTTGTTGGCTTTGTTTTATTATTCTTTTCCCAGTTAAAATATCATGAACTGGGAAAATTTCATCAGCTTTTACATCCATAACGTCCATGACTAACTTGTGTTTATGTAAAACATTTCAAAATCCACTTCTTGCTGTTTGTTTTCGCAGCGCCGTGGATCAAGTACTTATGCACATTAGGCAAGTGCTCTACCCTGAGCTACATCCTCGGCCCCAAAGAACACATGTATGTGTAAGATTACCAAAACTCAACGCCCTTTTTGGAGTTAATTATTCCAAGGTATATTTTTTCATCGCTGCCATTACCGTAGCTCTAACCAGGTCTTCCATCTCTTCTTAAGTTAATTCTAATTATCTTTCCCATTAATGTGATGGTTTTGGGGGGCTTTTGATTGCATTGTGATGAAATCTTGCTTGGTGATTTCTAAACGTTTGAAAGCTCTTTTACACACTAGACCAAGAGAAAATTAGTTCCTGCATTCTGTTTCCTCGCAATGATTTCCTCCTGAATGTTTCCTTCAGCTGTGCTCTCTAGAGGAATACTGAAACAAATACCAGGGCAGTAGAGATGGTTCCGTAGTTAATAACATGGCTGCTCTCGCAGAACAGTAACAGCCTCTCTCTGGGCCTTTGCCGTTGTCTTGGGTCCTGTTCAAATCCCTGTGCCCAAATGACCACTAACAACAATCTATAACTCCAGTTCTAGGGGATCCAATGCCCTCTTCTGGCTCCAAGGACACTGAACATACATGTTACAAAAGTATACATGCAGAAAAATACCCACAAAACAGTAAAAAGAATAAATCTTAACCTGGTGTGGTGGTCCACGCCTTTAATCCCAGCACTCAAGAGGCAGAGACAGGTGGATCTCTGAGATTTCAAGGCCCAGCCTGGTTTACAGAGTTAGTTCCAGGATAGCCAGGGCTGTTACACAGATAAACCCTATCTCTAAAAAAAAAAATCAAATAAATAAATCAATCTTTAAAGAACAGACCTATTCTTTCTTTCAGCAGATAACAGGAATAGAGACAGAAGAAAGCCTGCATCTATTGAGCTAAATTTACCAGGACCTTTCGAGAAAAAGTGGTGAGGGGATTAGCGATGACTCTGTAGTTAGGAGCGTTGGCTGCTCCTTCAGAGGATCTGGGTTGGATTCCCAGCGCCCACAGGGCAGCTCACAACAATCTGTAACTCCAGCTCCAGGGGATCCAACACCCTGTTCTGGCCTCTGCGAGTACTTCACCCCACGTGGTACACATGCATACATGTTAGCAAAACATTCATACACAAGAAACAAAAATAAATGTTTTATAAAAAGAGAGAGAAATGGAGTAACAGCCTCTCTCTGAGTTTTTGCTGTTGTCTTGGGTCCTGTTTTACTCCCCTGGGTCCAGATGCTCACACCTAGCATCACACCTTGCTTCTCCATGACAGCCAGACTTTGTGGATGCAGTCGTTAGCCCTGCCATCCCAGCTCCTGTGCGTGTAGGGTGTCTTCCATCGGTTTTGATCACCAATAGCAGGAAGCCCATTTTGGCTTAAAACAGAGACTTCATTCTCCAGTTCCTCTTTCTCAGGAGCTGCACTGGGTCCCCTTGCATACATCAATAAAGCTGACAAACTGATAAGCAAAACAAAACACACCCTCAATCTATAACGCAGGACTCCGAGGGGAAAGAGAAGGTATGAGGGCATGCCCTGAAAAGTCCCGCACCCAGGAGGCTGAGGCAGGAAAGTTTCAAGCTTAGCCTGGTCTGCGTAGAGCAGAGAGAGGGGTAGCGGGGAGGGGAAAAGAGAGTAAGAAAAAAAAAAATGCTTACTGAATTCTCAAGATAATCTTTAGCCTACTGGAGATGCCTTTCCATTCTCAATTTTAGGGGTGTGTGTGTGTGTGTACTCTTAAATAGACTTGCCAGTCATTTGCATGTTGTTTCTCAAATTCAAAAGCATTGCAGAAAGCGGCTACGATCACCTTAGCATGCCGTTACAACTATTTGCCCCAAAACACCTCCAGGCCCGTGGCACACCTTCTTCTTGTTTCTGTCCGTCAGCCTCTTTCCTCTCAGCAAGGGTTTCCTCTCTGCTCTGGTTTATAGGTTCTTATGTGTTCACTCCATCCATCCACTATCGCCCTCATGGTTCCTTTCCTAGCCCCTGACTTCTCAAGACTTCCTCTGGATTGCCTGTCAGATTGAATTAGCATTTCCAGTTCCAGTGCCGAAGGGGCCTAGCTCATCTCTTTATGTCACGCCCCATCCCAGGTCTCCAGGAAGCCAGAGAATGACCCTCCCCTCCCTCCAGAAGTCAGCTGTTTGACCCTACGCCCACCATAGCTCAAACGTAACACGCTGAAACGGAAGACTTGACATACCCACCACACGCTGGTTCACGCCTACCTTCTCCATAATGTGCGCGCCACCCACTGAGCTGTCCGGCCCCAAGAGGTTGTCCTTGCTGAGGCTCAGTCTCTTCAGCCCCGCCACGCATTTTCATTCCTCGGATCGCATCAGTTTTCCCTAATACAGATCCAAAGCCATGCGTTCTCTTCACTTCTGTTAACACAATTTACTCCAAGACGCCATAGATGCTTTGTCTAAATGACTAAGGTGGCCTTCCGACAGTTCTCTGTCGGGCCATAGCATGTCTAGTCCTGCCGTTCAATCCACAAGGACTCCACTATCATGATCAGTGTCCATTATAAAAGAGTTTGAGGCCCCAGGTTCATTCTCGTTCTTTCTCTCTCTCTTTCTCTCCCTCTCTCCACCTACCTTACCTATCTCTCCCTCTCGTTTGCTTAGCTGACCCTTGCCCATCTGCCTTCCTCCGTGGTATAAGACAGCCCAATGCCAAGAGCCACCCAGGCTCTTGAAATCGGCCATCAGAACTGCAAGCCTAATCATTCACCAATTCATTCATTCATCCATCTCTGCAGCATGCTGTTGTAACATCACAAAGCAAACTAATGTTCCAGAGAGCAGTAGTGATCATCTTGAACCGCCAAGTCCAGTCAGGAAAATCCCTCAAGATCCTCGCCAGCTCTCTATTTCAGAATAAAAGCCTTTTCCTCCCCCAGGTTCAACAAATGGCCTTCCTAACTGACCCATGCCAATCTCTCTAGCTTCATCTCAAAAGTCTTCCCGCTCCCACAATGCCCCAGCCTCACAACCTTCTGACAGTGACTTGAGACCCTGGCAGCGTCTCTGCTGGTCACATGGCTGTTTGCTCCCCTGCTTCTTAACCAGTTTCAGGTCTCAGCTGACTCTGGCCTCTTTTAGTTGTCCTAAGGGAAGAGACTCTCACCCAGTTCAAAATCATCGCCTCACAGTGTTATCTGCTTTCCCATCTTTCTAACTCCCTGGGAAGGAGACGACAGAGAACAGAGGAAAGTCAGAATGGGAAGCAGGGAAAGAAAACCTCCAAACAATAAGACTAAAATCACTAGGAAGATAAGCAGCCAGGTGTGGTGGTGCACATGCTTAATGCCATCACTCAGGAGAATTCTCTGAGTTCAAGACCAGCCTGTCCTATGTGGCAAGTTTCAGGACAGCTGGGGCTACATAGAGGGACCTTGTCTCAAAAAAAAAAAAAAAAAATACAAAGAGTATTCATCTTCTAATTAAACATCCTAGCCACTTCTTTCTATGTGCTCAGAGATGGTTACTAACTTTCCTAGCTAGGAGGCTTGTATAAATCAACTCTCTTTGAATTCTAGTGAATTCCACTAGTTTCAAGAATTTAGCAGAAACACCAGCTCGTATTAATAAGAAGCATTTGAGAAAGTCCATAAGGGCCCTCAGAAGAGCTGCTTTTTTTTTTCCTCCTGGTTGTAAGTTTGCGTCGCATGGACCTAGGACATGTTCTAAGATAAAACAACTCTCTGCTACAGCCTTGAGTACACGAGGCGTCCGGTTCCCAACAATACCCCGGCCCTCTGGCCCCGCTTTGTCCTCCAAAATGCCGCTTTGTAAATCACAGGTGTTTGTGGGCAGAAAGGCCATCGGAGGGGAGTTTATTGTGCGTTCTTTCTGTCCCGCTTGTTCTGAACCTGTTCAGGGAGTGCTTCATGCCACACACCAAATCTCCATAAAAATCAAGAAACAAGAAGTTTTCTGTAGGCCCGCCCAGCAGCCGCACTATGACATTAGTTTCGACAGCTCTGTGACCCGTATTGTCTCAACTTCATTCACGAGTCTCTTTTTCGCTTTCTTTTTCCATTGCTTTTTTTTTCTTTTTAAAGCCTTTATTGGCATTTGGCATTTTTTTTTATCTACTGTAAAATAAAAAGGAGAAGGATGGCTTTTTTTAAAGCGCTCTGTGTGACAGTTATAAAAAGAGAAAGCGCTATCTGCGGTTACTGTAGTAATGGTTTAAAGGAGGCGGGGTGGGGGGAGCACCTGCAAATCAAAGAAAGATACTGTGGCACCGTCGTCGGACGCCCCCCTCTTCTCTTAAAAGTTATTTCGTGGCCATTATAGAGTAGGCCGGGCAATGAATTTATGTGACAGCTATGAGGTACGGTATTAAAATTGTGAAGAGTGCCTAGCGGTTTTCCTGCCCTTCCTATAAGATAGCCTCAATTTGCCACACAGCGGTGAATAGGGTACAGAAGGGGGGGGTGTGTGTCAAATGAATGGGAGGAGGGTGTGTGAATGGGAGGGCTTCCCAGGAGGGGTAGTACCGGCGTCACCAGAGAGTGATTTATTTTTGAACTTCCAGAAAGGAAAGTCCCGAGAAGCAGCAGCCTGAAAGGCCCTGAAGCATTGGGGATAAGGGGGTGGAGGCGGAACGGGGGCGGGTGTCTTGACACATTTTGCCATGCCAGTGCCGGTTCTAGAAGCGGGGATCAAGGCTGGGCTGTGGTAAACCCATTCCTCCAGTCTGCCCAGATCAACCATGAAATGCCAGCAGGGAGTAAAAGTGGTTCCTGCTACTGCAGAATGGGAGAAAGGAGAGTGTGGAGGGTGGGCAATCTTGATCCGCTTGGAGAGAGTTCGGAGACAGATGAAGCGCGCTGGGTGTGCGATAGGGAAACTTCAGATGCGGGGATTTGGAGAGGGCATTCAGGAAAAAAAAAATTGAGGTGAAGTGACAGCAAAGGACAGGGGGCGTGCCCAGGGCGCCCGGCCCCGCCCCAGACCCCTCCCCCGACCCCTATTAGCATGCGGGCAGCGCGGGCCACGGGGCGGGGGCGGCACAGTGGGATCGCGGCGCTGGGCGCATTGTGGGCCGCGCTCGCCTCCACGGGGGACCATCTGCTCGCTGTCAATGCATCACCTGCTCGTCTGGGCCGTCGCCCGGACAACCGAGGGCGGGGGAGATTAAGGAGCGTGTGCGTCTTGGTGTGGGTACGGGAGGCGGAGGCGGGGGCGGGGCGCAATTCTGTCGCCTCTACCCCGGGGACTGGTCAAGCAGGGTGGAGGGGGATGACGACCACCGGGGACGATCGGACTCCGCTGCTTGCCGCCCCGCGGCCCCTCCCGAGAGCCACCCCCACCTGAGGTGGCTGGACTCTACAGAAGCCAAAAAGCACAGGGTCCCTCACTGAGCAACCCACCTCCTTGGTGACCAGACCAGACCCACGATTTCCTCTTCTACCTGTCTACCTGCAGCTGCAGAGGCCCTATCCTGTGCTCACCGCAGACACCTCCAAGCGAGCTGGTGCCACACTGCCCAACTCTTCTGGGCACCTCTGGGTGTGGTTCTGAGAGCCCCTCAGTCTCCAGGCAACCACAATGGGGCCAGCATTGCCAGTAGATCCTGCCCCGCCCCTGCCACAAAAGTCACAGAGGGCGTCCACGTCTCTTCTCTACCGCCCAGCACCAAAGCCTGGACAGGCCTTCAGCTTAGGAATACGAGTGTCACCTGCTGATCTTTCGACAGAGTTGGTTTTCCACGAAGGCCTTAGTTCTAGGAAGAAAGAAAGAGAGAGAGAGAGAGAGAGAGAGAGAGAGAGAGAGAGAGAGAGCAAGAAAGAAAGAAAGAAAAAACCTGCTGAAGTCCCCTGCCAATCCAGGCCTCTCTCCCTTGAAAAAATTCAAGTTAAAAGGATAATGGCACTGTAGCCAACAGCAGGGGGCAGAGCGATGCTGTATTTGGGAACAGGGCCCATTTCCCTCTGCCTTTGAGGCACAGACCGACTCTCTGGTTTAGAAACTCTCAAGAAATTCTATTCCAACCAGTCCAGGGTTTAGCTGCTCCCACAAAGGTGGTTCACATATGCAGCCAAGCAGAGAAAAATCTATAAACCCTGCAAAAGATTCCAAGCACTGCGACCCAAAGCCAGGGCTGGCGTAGGTTTGCTTTTTATCTGGGTTTTGAATCTGGTCTGGGATGGCAGTGGTTGGGTTTCTGAGACAGGGTTTCACTGTTTGGCACCCCATACTGGCCTCGAGCTCACTAGCCTGGTGTAGAACTGAGCACTGTGTCGCTTAGGCTGGTCTGGAACTTGCCAGGATCATCCTATCTGAAGTGCCCCAGCTTAGGAATTAATTACCCACACATGAGTCTGCCCCCAACTAATTAAGCTTTTGTTTGTAGGTAGTGCCTAATTTAATGTGCGTGCGTGCGTGCGTGTGTGTGTGTGTGCGCGCGCGCGCGGCCTCACAACTATAATCCCAGCACTTAAAAGAACGAAACAGAAGAGTCTCTGGGTTCCAGGTCAGCCTAGGTTAGGGTTCAATATCCTAGCTCAGAAACAAAACAAGACGAGAAAGAAAGTTGGAACATGGACACTAGGTTGTTTCTTCCAGAAGCACTGGAGTAAGCTAATAAGCCATATCAAAGCTCTGATATGAGTGTCAAGATGGCTCCCGATGATCAAGGGACCACGGGGCTTCTTGTCACAGCTTCAGCCCAGAACGTGGTTCACTGAAACGGGTGACAATGAAGACCAGGTGCCAACCAGCCAGACGACGTCGAGTTCAAGGTTGGAATAGCAATACAGGTCTCCATCAAAGCAGAGGTGGCATCCCAGCTAAGCCAGGTACCTGAAGTTGCAAGATTTGGGGTTAAGACAGTCACAATACAAAAACACTGTTCTGTTTTTTGCTGTTTTTTTTTTGTTTGTTTGTTTTCTTGGGACACGGTCTCACTTTGTAGCCCAGGCTGGCCTCTACTTCTGCCTTCTGAGTGCTGGAATTCCAGGCGGTAGCTGTCAGCTCCTGTGCAGACATGGCGATCCTCAGGGCACGACTTAACCACAGTGACCAGACACCTCGGGCCAAGGCGATGTCCCTCGGCCTAACTGCCTCTGGACTGCAGGTCACTGCCTGCAACCTAGACTCAGACAGACAGAGGGAAGCTATTGGGGGTGGGTAGTTAAGTTTTGCTCACAGCTCCTGCTATGTGGACTGTTTTCTAGTTGTCCAGTTATGGGACATTTGTCTAGAATAACACCAGCAGAGTGTCGGTACTCGGGACCTACACCGGACCTCTAAGCTGAACTTGGCGCCACCCCTCACCTTCAAACCCACCTTCTGTTTGAAGACTTTTGAGCCGAAAAGTAGACCTTATTCCAGGGCCTGGCAGACACACACACACACACACACAAGGTTTGTCTGTCATGCTGTTTGCTTGCTTGGTGGCTTTGCCGTGCACATACTGGAAAACCGCTGAGCTACACACTCTCGGCCACAAAGTTCTTCAATTTAGCAACTCAAACCTGCTTCCTAGAGTTCAGCTTTCCAAAAAGGAAGAAATCTATTTTTCCAAATCAACTATTTGCATGTAAATTATTAAACTATTTACTTCAAATTTTCCCTCGTGTTTTCTTCCGTTTTCCGTTTCTCGCGGAGCCTCTGTCAGAGTTTGTTATTTTCAGCTCCTCTAACTAAAGTCTGTCAGCAAGTACAATTTCTGTATGACACCGTGGGTCAGATTAATTTTGGTTTTTCTTAATTTGCTGTTACTGTGTAGCAAATGACAGGCCTAAGGATGTGTTCCTTTCACTGAACTTCCGAGCCAATAACCCACTAATGGATCCTTAACATGTAAGACACGGGTGAGCTATCAAAATAGCTGTGGCCTTGACAAACTAGATACATGTGTAAAGGTAAACAGACCTGGTCAAAAGATAAAGAAAATTCTACTTAACCAAAACTACCTTAAATTGTGACTCATAAAGGAGAATTCTGAGGACCAAGCATTCTCTTTGTTATGCACAACTCTTCAAATATATAGAATCAAGGTTCGTTGCGGAATATTTGTTTAACTATGCAAAGGTGTGCTGCTTTTGTTTATGTAGAGACGCGTTGCATTTGTTTAATTGTATAAAGATGTGTTGCTATTTTACCTTGCCTGCCTGCCTAAGGCACCTGATGAAAAGTTGAAGGGACAATAGCGAGGGAGGAGTTGTGGGCGGAGTTTCTGGGCAGGGAGAGTAAGTAGGAGGAGGAATTTCGGCTCCAAGAAGAAAGGAAAAAGAGACAGCAGGAAGACTCCAGGGGTCAGACAGACAGACAAGGAGGAAACAGGAGAGTGGGACACACAGAATGAAAGAACGGTAAAAAGACTGGAGGCAAAACATAAATAGAAACAGGCTAAATTAAAAGAGCTAATGGGACAAGCCTAAGCTAATTAATCATGATTAATAATAAGTCTCTGTTTTTTTTTTTTTAATTTGGAAGTTGGTTGGCAGCCAAAAGAAAAGTCCAACTGCAAGTGTTCTCTAGAGGAACATAATAGATAGATAGATAGATAGATAGATAGATAGATAGATAGATAGATAGATAGATAGACATAGATAGATAGATAGACATAGATAGATAGATAGATAGATAGATAGATAGATAGATAGATAGATAGATAGATAGATAGATGATAGAGAGAGAGAGATTCTATCCCGTATTTATAAGAAGTTTCTTCAGTCGACATTTTCCATAGGGGATATTGAGTCCAACAATAGTTTCTTGCACAGTAAAGAGGCTGAGTGCCCAGGACTCCGATCAGTCCACAAAGTTGAATACCTCTGCAGCTCCAATCTGGCCCTGAGGGTCCTAAGAGAGTCACCGATGTTCAGTCCCTGTTGGAAGGCCAAGGAAGCTGGATTCTGATGTTGGAAGCAGCAGCAACCGCCACAGGGTAGACACACAGACCAGCAAGAAGACAAGCAAAACAAACCACTGCTATTTCCCCAGACTTCTTTGTAACTGGGCTGCTGCTGGGAGAGCCCATTGCCCTGATGGGGGATATCTCGTCCCCTCAATCCTGGAAATGCTCCCTCACACACATATGGTCCACACCTAGCAGTTTCGTAGCTGATTCCAGATCCAGCCAAATCCACGGTTAAGATCAATGCCTACATGAGGCATCGTTGCCATTATGAAAAGAGTTTGAGCCTAATTATTCTATCTGAATACAAGGTAAGACATGGCTGAGGTGGACAGGACTCCTTCAGCCTCTCAGAGGTGTCCCTTAGCTTTTCATGCACAAATATCACTCAGCTGCCTGTTCCTAGAGTCTAACAATAGAGCTTTATTATTATTATTATTATTATTATTATTATTATTTTATCAGTAACAGGCTCAAACCCCAACCTTGTGTCCATTAGGTAAAGATCCCTCTCCTTGCTGAACCGCTCACTGTTTACTATAGTACACAATTCTCTCCCCTCTCCCCTCTGCCCCCTCCTGTAATCCCAGCATTGGGGAAGCAGAAGTAGGAAAACTGCTGCAACTTTAAGGACAGCTTGGTCTACGTATCCAGTTCTAGGTCAGCCGAGACTATACAGCAAAACTCTGCCAAGAGAGGGGGGAAGGGAGATACAGCAGTGCGATTGATGCTCTTGGAATAAACAGTAGAATTTAACTCTGGCCTACAAGCATGTACGCAGGTAGCTGTGAGGTCATGGGGTGTAGATGAGCTTGACCACAGTTGTGATTTTACAAAAAAAAAAAAAAATACATGAGCAAAATCACACAGTACACTTTTTGCTAACTAAATGTATTACCACTGAGCTATGCCTCCAGATCTTGGAGATTTTTTTAAATTATTTTTTGAGAATCTCATATATGAGTATCTACATCATTTCCTGCTCCAAGTCCTCCCATGTAACCCCTTCAAGTTGATGACTTCCTTTTCTGTGATTATTGTTACTCCTATAGAATGTATATACATGTATGCATGCATGTATGTATACACACATATACACACACAACCTACTGAGTTCATTTAGTGTTCTCTTCTCTACATTAGTTTGGGGCTGACTACTTGGACAACTGATCAGGACCAATCCCTGGGGAAAAAAATCAATTATCTCTTGACAGCCATTGACTGCCTTTAGCACTTCATCTAGGGGTGAGACTTTGTGAAACTGCCCCCTCCCCTTGTTGGCACGTCATCCCTTACCCTGATGCCATCTTGTTTCGGCAAACATATGGTTGAGATCATTGGTATGATGTACCTGTCATGTCTAGAAGACCCGATCTTAGATGGTGTCCTGATTCTCCGGCTCTTGGACCCCTTCCCACCTCAATTCCACAATGTTCCCTGAACCTGAGGTATAGGTGATATTTCTGAAATGGACCTATGGGGGGTGGGCACCCCAGTGTCTTTTACTCTCTGTACTTTGAGCAGGTGTGCATTTCTGCAGTGACCTCCAGTGGCTGTGAGAAGAGGCTCTATGGCAAGGGTAGGAGCCACGCCTACCTGCGTAGTCCTTGACTTCCCGTTGTACAAAGGCTGACTTCGAT